AAACGAGTGTATGTTTGCTGGTAAGATGTGTTTGACAGTTTGTGGTGTGGCAAATTGTGCACTGAGGTTTGTAATTTTATTAATGAAGAATGTGGCAAAGTCGTCAGCTGTTAGAGTTGATGAAGGAGGGGGAGGAGGAGGACAAAGGAGGGAGGCAAATGTTTTAAAGAGCATGCGAGAGTTAGGCGAATTGTTAATTTTGTTGTGATAGTATGTCCTTTTAGCAGTGGAGGCATTAGCAGAGAATGACGAGAGGAGTGATCGATATAAATTAAGGTCAGTAGGATTTTGTGATTTACGCCATACTCTTTCTGCAGCTCTGAGCTTAGAATGATACTCACGGAGAACATCAGATAGCCAAGGGGCAGAAGAGGTGGTACGAGCTGGCCTGGAAGACAAGGGGCAGACAGTGTCTAAACAAGACGTAAGAGTTTGTATATAGTATATTCAGCGCTTGGATACTGCAAAAACACTGCAGTCCAACTGCAAAGGCCAAAACGGTCAAATAAAACTCTAAATGAATAGCATGTTACAGTTCACTCAAATACTGTAAGTTGTGCAAGTGTAAAATCAGGGTCAATGAGAGACTCATTCTGTCTCAGCATCATGTCTTTGTGCTTGAGTCCGGCCTGAGGACTTTGTCCACATCACAAGTAATGTAGTCTTTTTTGCTAGACAAAGAGAAAAAACCCATCCAGCCTTGATAACACTCTCTAAACCTTCCTCTTTCTCTCCTCATCCTCTACTTCTTACATGTACTCTTCTTCCTCTCCTTCTCAGATTGTGTCCATCTATTGTTCGTATCATCATTCAGTCACCTGTGCCACGTGTGCTCTCTGAACCGGCTCATATGTTGTACAGTTGGTTTGATCACATCATTAGAAACAAGTGTGAACAATTTTGAATCGTTGTGTGTAAATGATGACAGCTGTGCTTTTGCCGCTTGTGTTTAGCATTTTGCAGCTCAAATGCATCAGTGATAAGTGTTTAAGTGAATGAGAATGTGTTTAGAGTTTTGCATGAGATTTGCAAATAGAACCTAACTGCCTGAACGTGTTTAAGGTTTAGCAGAGTGCTTTATTCGACAAATTGGTTTAAGCTAGTGAGAATTTGGTTCAGAGATTGGGGTTTAGTGTTTTAGCAATTCAGAAAAACTGTAATGGCAACATTTGGAAAACATATTCTTAGAACATATTTTTGTGAGCTGGGATGTTTATGTGAGAAACCCTTTTTAACAGAGATATCAGTTTTGTTTAATTGAAATGTAACTTTTTGTCTCAGATGTTTCTTCTAAAATGACAAGAAAAGCCTCCAAACGTTTTCCTTTACGTAATTTGCTGTTCCTGGTCAATGACCGGCCTATAAGAAATTGCTTATAAATCTCTCATTATGCTCTATTATCACCAAATCTTGGATTCAATCTTTTTATCAAATTGTTTTCTTTCGATTAGCACAGGTTTTGTGTTTCATTTTGGAGCTGATTGATCATAGGTCTCATTGATCTGAGCTTATGAACCAGTTTTGGAGTGAAAATTATCTAGAAATAATGCTTTTTTCACTCAATAACTAAGGTGCATGAGCTCAGATCAATGAGGCTTGCAATCAATCATTTCCAAAAAGAAACACAAAACCTGTGCTAATCGAAATAAAACAATTTGATAAAAAGATTGAATCCAAGATTTGGTGATAATAGAGCATAATGAGAGATTTATAAGCGATTTTTTGTAGGCTGGTCATTTTTGACACCACAAGTGTAACAAGGTGGGGGGAAAAAATCTCAAAAAAGTACAAAAATTATTGTTTTATTTCAACTTTTAGTCCAATGCGATAACATTTCTAGCATTTTCAGGAAAAAAAAAGGTCAAAATGACCCGAACGCAACATGAAGGTTCAGAAAACAGAACAAATACAAATGAATGAATCTAAAGTTTTGGTTTGAAAAGTTGAGACATGCACTCATGAGGTTTTTGCATGCACTCTTAAAAATAAAGATCCCTAAAGCGTGTTTTGCAGCGATGCCATAGAAGAAGTGTTTTTGGTTCCTCAAAGAACCTCAGTTCTTAAAAGAACCATTAGAAGAACATCGAAACACTCTAAAGAAGCTTTTGAGCATTGAAAAGCTTCAAAGGTTCTTCATAGAACCATCAATGCCAATACAGAACCTTCATTTTTAAGAGGTAAAGATGTGTTTGGGCCTGCAGTCAGAGCTTCGGTTCACATGCTGCTTTCTCAGGATCACGATTTGTGAAGCATTTCTCAATTCAGGCCGAATCGATGCTCATGGTGTTGGTTTTGGAGCAAACTCTCACTGCTGCGGGGCTGTTGAACTCTCTCCGATGCACAGAACGCTGTGATTCATCGCCCAGGATCCTCTCACCGTACAATCATTAACCACACGATTAGCACAAACTCAGGCCTGTTTGTCTTGTTGGAGGCGATAAGCTGAAGCTGAAAGCTCCGATGATCGAGAGCAGATCTGTTGTGCTGATCACTGAGCTCCAGAGCTCAAACTGTGCTGTTGTTTCATTCAGGAAGGGCTAGAGTTTAATTGATTTTAATGACTAACAGATAATCTGCTATGATGAAAGCATTGTGAATCAACAGATAAGGGACTAATAACACAAATGCACATTCATCACAGCTCTATTGTGCTCACATCAGATAAAAGGACAGATCATCATGCACTTTGAGTACACGCACATTTAAGTTTGGATATGCAAATAATACATATTTTAGAAATATGAATGATTTATCCCCAAAATATTGTTTATTGACTAACACAAAATATTTACACAGTTTCCCACGAGACACCAGATACACGTTTGGATCGAAATCTACACATCCATTAAGTTAATTGTGCTACTAAATGTACAGTATGATACAGTATGTACAGTGCTGAGATGGACTCATAGCTGAGGGTTGATGGAGAAGTGTGGATCCTCCTCGATGTCCAGCTCTTGATCTGAATCCTCAGACTCGTCAGACTCGCGCATCACGTCTGGACTCGATCTGTCCGAGTTTCTCTGCTCGCCCGAGTCCTCCACATCTCTCTTACTGCTCGGAGGATTCTCCTGTTTCAGCAACGTCACACAAGCATGTCAATATTTGCAGCTTTTATATTCAGTGGCCATATGGATGTATTTGGGATGTCCGCATCAAAAGAAATTTACAAAATTGATTTAGAAAGTCCATAGAAAGCACATTAGATGGAAGTAAAGTGTCTACTTTTAAGGTTCCAAATAAGCCTTTGGAGGATACAATGTTACAATTTGGTTGAAATAATGTTACATTGTCATGTGTGACACAATATTTATGTACAAATTCAAACAACATGCTTATTCTGACCTGTACATATTAAAATATATAAAAGAATAAGGGAGAATATTAAATTTGATTGTGTCTTAAATGAGTAAAAAATTCTTACTGACAAATGGGTAAAAGCTAGGATAGTGGCACATTTTAAAAATGTAAAATTACAACTAATTAGTATTTGGGGTGAAAGTAATTAGTCTTTTAATGTTTCATAAATTGATTTTTGTTGTAAATATGCCTGACAAGATTGTTACACTGAATGACATTTTAGTGGGTCTCTTCTGTAAATCAGGGAAAACTGTATATTTATTTTTTGCTCAGAAAAACAAAATTGCAATTAAATTAAACAGAAAACTTTTTACATTTTTTGAGGGAAAGCAACAACAATTTAAAGCAGTATTACACTTATTGTTTTTATGCTTAAACCCTTTTTCGTCTTTGACCCATTTATTTATTTATTTTAGCCTTTAGCCCTTTTAGCGTGAATTTCATTTTCTGTTTTCTATTTTTCTTTTTCTTTTTTAAAACAGAGATTACAAATATTATAGAGATTTTTTTTTTATTATAAATATTATATTAATAACAATTTATATTCTAAAATATTATTTAGATTTAGAATTTAATATTCAGGTAATTCGATAATTATTTTCTAGAAATTATAATTATTAAATTAATATTATATTCTAAAATATTATTTAAGCCTAGATTTAGAATTTAATATTCAGGAAATTAGATCATTATTAAAATATTAATAACAAGTAGTTTAAGAGTAGAAAAACAAGATACAGTCCTATCTCGTACAATTATTTTACCGCATTAAAATAAAAAAAGAGTTTTGTTTAATTTTTTATTTCGTATTTATATTTCGTATACATTTTAGCGCTTTAACAAAGCTCTGCGCAAGCGATCAAAAACTATAAAAAACGAATGAATAGGATAATTTAAAAAAATCACAGTACATTGAAAAAAACAAATAGGTGTAGAAACGACTTTCATTCAGAAATCGCGTTTAAATTTCACTATTAATTACAAAGAAACGGCAAGTAACGCATTAAATTAAAACCGAACTAGTGTTTTCTTGTAAAACGCGCTACAATCATCTCAATTTAACTTCGAAAAATCATTTGTAGTGTAATAAAATAACAAAATATTACAACAATAAAAAAGTGTTTTTCTTAAGATTAAAGGCACTTTAAAAGCGGCACACTGAAAAAATGGTTCATTGAATTTACTAAGAAATTTTAAGGTAAGTGGTTGCAATCCATTTATTTTAGCTACATTTAAATAAACTAATTTTGCTAAACTAAATTTGCTTATTTAAATGTAGCTAAAATAAATGGATTGCAACCGCGCTTACCTTAAAAATTAGTATCATTTTTTTCAGTGAAATATATTTATTTGTACCGTGCATTTTTTTTGTGTGTGGTTGTTTTAGTTGTGTTTTTATTTGCTGTAAAGGTCTGGTTATTATTTAGGATTATTATGATAACGCATAGGATTTAGTATAATTATTACAATAATAAAATAAGCGTTTTAAGAGCAGAAATGAGAATTCTCACCTGTTTCAGTCGCCTCCATTTCGCCCGACGGTTCTGGAACCACGTTTTCACCTGCAGACGGATGAAGAAGATATGAAAATAAGACTAAAAGCAACATGTCTGATAGTTTTGAATGTTGTATAAATGAGTGAAAAGTGTAAGGTCGCACTCGCCTGTCTCTCGCTGAGCTGCAGCATCTTGGCGAGTCTCTTTCTCTCGGGAGGAGACAGATACTTCTGCGTCTCGAACTTCTTCTCCAGCTCGAGGGTCTGGTCGTTGGAGAAGCGAACCTGTCCGCCTTTCCTCTTGTGCAGCGGCCGCTGGAGGAACGGCGTCCACAGCAGAGGCTTACCTGTAAAACAGAGGCAGACGCACGTGAATGTGTTGCGCAAACACATAAAGAATAAACGCGCATCCTGCAGATCTTCAGACTGATGGAGCATGTGTTTGGTCTGTCTGTCTGTCAGCTCGAGCATCCGCTGAAAGCTGGAGTTTATGAACACAAGGACTCTGGCAAAATTTCCGTCAATGTGTTTCCTGTTGGTTAATCTGGTGAATGGGGTGAACATCCGTCCAGTCCTCACAAACAGAAGGGAAACTGCGTTCAGATGGACACGTGCTAAAACCCTCAGAGACGGAAATGTTTTAAAACGTTTTAAATCTCATTTAAAATCTTTTTTTTTTTCAATCTGTTTAACTTGTCACAATAATTTCCACACGGCAAAAAAAAAAAGATTTAGAATTGAATATTCAGGAAATAATTAATAAAAAGTTATTATTAAAACATTTTTTTTATTTTAAGATAACAAGCATTTTAAGAGAAAAACATGATACAATACTATGTCTTAGAATTGTTTTACAGCATAAAAATAATAAATATAATAATTATAATTATATTATATAATATAATAAAATTGGGTTTCGTTTTATTTCGTTTTTTTCGTTTGCGCTGCCTAAAGCGCTCTCTCTCTCTCTCTCTCACACACACACTCTCTCACTCTCTCTCACACACACACACACTCTCTCTCTCTCACACACACACACACACACACACACACAAAACTGGCCAAAAATACATCTTTAATATAAATATATTTAAAATATATATATACTGTATATGTATAGCGTATAATAGGTCTATTTCATACCGAATCATTTTGGGTCATTTTTAAAATATATATTTTAACAATGTTAATCTATTTTTAAAAGCATTTAAGAATGTAGGCTATTTTGCCCTCCATATAACCTATTTTAGCCCCCCCTTATTTAAGGCATCCATTAAGGCTATAAATATATTAATTTTGCTATTTCTTAAATACAGACTGCTATACGTGTATAGCCTGTATATTGATAAATCCTATTTGCAATAATAAAATCGACCAGATTTTAGACATGTGCTTTGTTTAAAAAAAGCATGAAATAGTGGAGGCGTTGTACAGTTCCGTGAGGTGTGTTTGAGCTGGTTTAGCAGTTATGAAGGTTCAGCCCAATGAAAGGAAACGAACAATCTGTAAAAAACGGATCCCGGCTATCAGAAGCCGAGTGTTTCCTGAATATGTGTGTATTGAGGATGTGGATAAAATAATCAGCAGCGCGCACGAGTCCTGCTCCAGGAAAACATCTCACAGCTTCTGAAAGCACACTTACTCCTATCGAGAGCTCAAGATTTCCGGAGTGAACGGAAAGGCTCAGGGCTCGCTGAGCTCAGGCAGTTTGAACCTCAGACCGACAACACGTGAGGAAGACCAGCGGAGTCTTCCTCACCCAAACACGCTTCCTGTAGAGCTCAACATCTGGAACACGATCCGAAGTCACGCTCGTTTCCAGCAGCAGGGTCACAGAAATGCGCTTTGACCTACAGTTTCGAAATCAAGAAGAGCTTCCTCTTCAGGTCAGTCTGGTTGATGTTATTAACCACACGAGCTGTTGGTAAACACACCTCATGAAGCCCAGCTTTCTATGTCCAAAGCACACCAACTTTTAGACGCAATTTAGTCCTGAAGCACATTTTCGTTGTGAACTTCAGCTTTCAGTTTTTCTATCTGATTTAACCCATCAAAACGAGTTATAAATGCATGCATTTAGGTTGATTCAGTGAACTTGAATAAAACCAGATTTTTGACTAGATGCTGTTGATGTGGAGTTTATTACAACACGTGTTTAATCACACTCTCAGAAAAAGAAAAAAAAGTCACATTTTAGACACTCTATGTACCTTTAAGGTACACTGAAAAAAATGCTACTACATGTTTTTAAGGTAAGTGGTCGCAAACCTTTAAATGTAGCTAAAATAAATTGATTGCAACCACTTACCTTAAAAAAATTTAGTAAATTCAATTAATCATTTTTAATATGCACCCTTTAGGGGTTAAAAAAAAAGGTACAAAAGTGCAACTTTTGAAAAGGTACCGCCGCAGCGACAGAGCTTTTGTACATTTTTCGTTTCTGAGAGCGCGTTATTAACCAGTAATTAAACAATCAAATGAAGCCCAGTACGGTGTTCAGTAGTTTAGATCGAGACAGGACAGAAATGAGTCTGGCTCTCACCCAGCGGGTCGTGGCGGATCAGCGCGTGCGTGAAGTCTCGCTGGAACGGGTAGATGGACGCGTAGGTGGCCGCGAGCGCCTGCTGGGTCAGAACCGGGTGGATCGGCGTGGGCTCGTAGATCGGGCTCCGGTAAGACGGGATCAGGCTGGTGAAGGACGAGTTCGGAGACGGCAGGGTCAGCGTGGGCGCCACCGGACCGGACGCGGACGCGTTTCTGCCCAGAATGTCCTCGATGTAGAAGGGCGTCGGGTGAGCGGGCGGCGCGGGCGTCGGCGCGTAAAGAGCCGCGTGCGAGTGCTGGAACTGCATGGCTGGAGGACTTCTGATGTCAGCGCTCGTGGACTTCTGCTTCCATGCAGTCTGCGATGAGCGAAAGCGGGAGGTCACTAGTGAGGGAGGGGATGATGTTTTCTGAGGGAGGAGAATAACGGGTCAAACTTCCTGCAGGTACGCGAGCTCTGATTGGCTCTCCGAGAAGAATGCGATGAAGGAGAAGACAGAAGAAACCTGAGGAGGAGGAAAGTCAGGATGCACCTGGATTAAACACGCGTGCATGAAGTCTCACTTTCGTTTAAGTCACATAAACTAAAAACTAACAAACAAAACACTTGTGTCTTTTAGACTTGCACTCTATTCATTTCTTGTTTTCTTTAAACAAAAACAATTTGTATTATACATGTATTATACAATTAACAAAAGCAAAAATACCTCTAACACTAGCTTGCTCTATTTTTTTTCTATTCTATCTGTTATATTATCTGAAAACCCTGAGACTTAGATAAAAGCTCTGCTAAATGACTAAATGTAAATCTAAACTAAACCAAAGCGTAAAAACCGAAGCTTAATTGCTTACATTTTTAAGTAGAATTAAATTCAGTAAACTATATTTAATTACTGACGAAGAAGAGTTTATAGAAATTAATAGAATTCATTATAGAATTTAATAAAAACAAAGATGTTACGACTTAAATGATTTTATTCTGATTGTATTCTGGTTAATCGTCTTTGTAGTAAAGATTTTGTGATTATATATTTACGCTGTTTTGTGCAATGCTTAATAAAAATGAAATTACAAAATATTAATGAGTAGTAACGTCTTTGATTTTAAAGATAATGTCTTTACTTAAAAAAATAACTAGAATATAATCTTGTGTTTAATTCATATCTATTTGGCAATAATAAATATTCAGTAGCTTTTGTGTAGCCAAAACTGTAAAGTAATTATTATTTATTAAAATAATAAAATAAACACATTCAATGGCAACCAAAGAATTTTGATACAGAAATTACTGAGGAAAATTTGGGGAAAATACATATTTTTTATTTTTTAAATATATTTTAAAAAATCTGTTTCAAAATATATTTACGTGAATATATATATTTATTTTTATTTTTAACAGATATTTAAATATATTATAAAAATATAATTATATTTTTAAAAATTTAAAAAGATATTTTGCCCCTATATTTAAATAAAAATGTCATCTTTGATGAAAAACTTTATTTGTTGTCTATAACACGTGTGAACATATAACACGTTTAAATAAAAATCAACAAGGAACAAATAATAGTAATAATAATAATAATAATAATAATAATGACACATTTCGAAGTTTTGGTATGAAGGTTGAAACCAAATATATTTTCTGTTTCAAAAATATATTTCACTCAACATATATTCAGCGTATATTTAAAATATATTTGATTTTGCCGTATGGGTTAACCAGAACATGCAGATAGGCCTATTTCGGATTTATTGAATTAATTTCAGGTCAGTAATAATATAATAACACGCATCTCTGTGTCGAAGTGAAGCTGTTGAATTCAGTGGATTGTAATGAATCAAACACAAACTGGCTCTTCAGGAGCGCATTGATCTGATTGAAGCATAATTCCGACTAACATCACCTGCGCGTTTATCAGCAGATGAAGCTATTTCATCCACGAAAGACTGATCTGGGAACAGCTAATATTTGCGCTTTGCCAATCATTGCTGTTAATTGATCTGCTGTCAGTCGTGGCGCCTCGTGTCGGGATCATTCTGGACAAACTCCATCACATTCACACTGTGAGGAGAAAATAATGGCCTTGAGCAGCAGAGAAGCGTTCCTGACACGGAATTCTCCGGCTGTTCGATTAAACACATCAATAATCACGAACTTTCATCTTTTCCTCATTACTCAGAGAACAGACACAGCTTCGTTCAAGCCCAGCTCTTCAGTTTTCCAGTAGCACGTCATTTACAGTCATTTGATAAGAAAAGTCCAATCTGATCACTTCTTATCGGAGTCGTTCGGCGCTATTGATCACGGTTAGTTTCAATTAGCAGCTGATTAGAGTCCAATACAAGACAGTGATCAGTCAAACGAGGAGGAAACAGATGATGATGTGTGACAGGAACACCGCTGCTTTCCTCATGATTTACAGCATTTCAAACTGCTGACAGAACGGAAGCCACACACACACACACACACACTCACACTCACACTCACACAGAGAGACACACACACACACTCACACTCACACTCACACAGAGAGACACACACACACACTCACACTCACACTCACACAGAGAGACACACACACACACTCACACTCACACTCACACAGAGAGACACACACACACACTCACACTCACACTCACACAGAGAGACACACACACACACTCACACTCACACTCACACAGAGAGACACACACACACACTCACACTCACACTCACACAGAGAGACACACACACACACTCACACTCACACTCACACAGAGAGACACACACACACACTCACACTCACACTCACACAGAGAGACACACACACACACTCACACTCACACTCACACAGAGAGACACACACACACACTCACACTCACACTCACACAGAGAGACACACACACACACTCACACTCACACTCACACAGAGAGACACACACACACACTCACACTCACACTCACACAGAGAGACACACACACACACTCACACTCACACTCACACAGAGAGACACACACACACACTCACACTCACACTCACACAGAGAGACACACACACACACTCACACTCACACTCACACAGAGAGACACACACACACACTCACACTCACACTCACACAGAGAGACACACACACACACTCACACTCACACTCACACAGAGAGACACACACACACACTCACACTCACACTCACACAGAGAGACACACACACACACTCACACTCACACTCACACAGAGAGACACACACACACACTCACACTCACACTCACACAGAGAGACACACACACACACTCACACTCACACTCACACAGAGAGACACACACACACACTCACACTCACACTCACACAGAGAGACACACACACACACTCACACTCACACTCACACAGAGAGACACACACACACACTCACACTCACACTCACACAGAGAGACACACACACACACTCACACTCACACTCACACAGAGAGACACACACACACACTCACACTCACACTCACACACACACACACACACACACACACACACACTCACATAATGATAAAAACCAGACACTCCAAGTTTAGAGATGAGTTATGAACATCACAGCATATTCATATTGATTGCAGCATCTTCTCAGCTCACAATAAATGTTTTAACAACGTTTTCCTAACGTGAGTGTTCTCTGAACGTTCAAAACATCCAATTTTACAAACGTTTTTCTTATTTATGTGAAGGTTTTATGAACATCCATTTGATCATTTTCCAAACATTATGGGAATGTTACATTTGAATGTGCTCTGAACGTTCTGAAACAGAAAAGTGTCACATTTAAAAAACGTTAGAACATTTCAGAAAAAAAAAATGAATGAACGATGCATAAATAATATTTTCGTGCTAACGTTTTGAGAACATTAACTGAACTAAATGAAGGTTGTATTAACATTACTGGAAGAACGTTTGCTCATAACTTTGAGAGAACGTTCATCAAAATAATTTTCTTGTCTCAAGGCTTTTGTTCTTTCTGAGCGTCTCACAGCTTTGGATTCTGAATTCTTATTTGTTGTATGTTGTCTCCATCTGCTGGATGTGGTTGATAAATGTAGAAATAAAGCATGCATATTTTTGAATAATTTTCTTCGTAATAATAATAATAATAATAATAATAATAATAATAATAATAATAATAATAATAGAAAATACAGAACAGTGAAATGACTCAACAAGTAATGATCAGTTTACCTGATAATTATGTTTTGACTTTGATGGGCATTAGAGTTAAAAACCCCCAAAGCTTAGCATTTCATTACATGAAGAAGACAAGCTTTCGCTGAAATTATTAATTCATTGTTAGAAAAAATAAACCTGTTAAAATAAAAAATAAAAACTTAATTGCTTAAATTTTTAAGTACAATTAAATTTAGTAAAGTATATTAATTACTGATGAAAAATAACTTATTAATATAGTTTAAAGCATTTAAAAATATATTTTGCCCTATATATTTAAATCAAACAATATGTCAGCTTTGATGAAAGACATTATTTGTTGTCTATAACACGTTTGAATAAAAATCAGCAAGCAACAAATAATAGTTCCTTATTATTATTATTATTATAGAAAATACGGAACAGTGAAGTGATTCAATAAGTAATGATCAATTTACCCGTCTATAATTCCTATGTTTTGTCTTTGATGGCCATTATAGGGTTAAAAAAAATCTACGAACAGTCAAAACTCACGAAAATTGCAAAACTGCACGAATAATTAAAAATTAATACAATTTTATGTAAGTAATTTGGCATGAATTAGAAAAATGCTCAATTTAATAATAATACGTGTTTGCAAATACCTGTCAGTTCCGGCAGGGCTCAGATTGTTATCATCTCCATTTAATTTTAGTTTTATTAGAAACATTTGTGCACTATGAAGTAGAATCGTTTAAGTCTATTGATGTCAGGCACAGCAGTCACTGTCAAAGGATTATGTAAAACGCCGCATCCGGTGATATCAACACTCGGCTGTGATTGGTCGATCCCGAGAAGCGCTGAGAAAAGTAACAGCTGCGTTTTTCGCTCTTCAACCACGACTGAAATGAATAATTATTCGGCTCCATCATACCTGACAAATTAGAGACAAGATGCGGGCCACTAAAAGCGCTCATTTTGTGTTAATTTCTCTGATCCCGGGTCCCAGTGTTCACACTATCCACCCTAAAAAATAAAATAGTATGTGAGATTAGAATAAGTGTGTCCCTAAGCATAGTATGTTGACAAGAGTATGCCTAAAGTCCCCGGATGGTAGATTTTTGAAGTGTGGATCCGTGCACACTCTAATGGCGCATTGGCGAAGGATTCGGTTCAGAACTACAAACACGAATAAAAATGGTTTAAAAACTACAAACATGGCGGATGTGCGCGACCGTTGTGTATTACGTAATAGCTCGTCCCAAAGCTTGCGTACTCTTCTGCTACACACTCAAAAGTGTGTACGTATTCTTCACCAAAAGAGTACATACTTTAAGGGCGTAGTATAAGTAGAAACATTGGGACGCAGCGCCACGCGTTGTGTTTCGCTAATAAGTGTCCGCGCCCTGAATCTCGCCTCTGGTTGGTGAGAAAGTAGTTCCGCCCCCGGTCGCCATGTATCGCTCCGCACGGAACCTGCAGCTCTTCAGCGCGGCTCTGTCGAACCCGAGATCCAGCAACCTCCGGAACATCTGCCCTGCGCCGGGACTCCTGCACAGCCCGCTCAGAATGGTAAAATCGCGCTGTTTCTGCGGTGTTTAGTGAGCTGTGAGCCGGACCCACGGGCCAGTGAATGACCTTCATGTTCAACGCTCAGAAATCTGAATTATTACGTTCATACATGCATTTCATAACCTTAGAAATGTGCATTTGCTCTTACATAGAGCTGGCTTGTTTTTCTGAGGGGTGAAAGTGTGAATTATAGTGATTGAGAAACATGAGCAGGAGTTTCTGATCAGTTTTAATGATGAGAATCATAATCATATATCAGAAACACGAGCAGGCAAAGGTTTTTGAACAGTAAGATTTGTAATGTTTTTTTAAAGAAGTCATAATTATACTGATTTCTGAAGATCATGTGACACTGAAGACTGGAGTAATGATGCTGAAAATACAGCTGCGCATCACAGAAATACATTACAGTTTAACAGATATTCACATAGAAAACAGCTGTTTTAAATAGTAAAAATATTTCACAATTTTTGCTGTATTTTTGATCAAATAAAGGCAGCCTCTGTGAGCAGAAGAGACTCTTTAAAAACTGTATGTTTTGTGGTTTCAGGCCAGCTCAGAGTCGTTCAGGATCGAGAGGGACACGTTCGGGGAGCTCAGAGTCCCTTCTGATAAATATTATGGAGCTCAGACGGTCAGATCAACCATGAACTTCAAGATCGGAGGAGCCTCAGAGAGAATGCCAGTGAGAAACACACTTACATGTCTGATTATGGTCTGTGTGATCTGTCAACGCTTCCTCTTCCTGTAGATTCAGGTGATCAAAGCCTTCGGGATCCTGAAGAAAGCTGCTGCAGAAGTGAATAAAGATTACGGTTTGGACACGAAGATCGCAGACGCCGTCATACTAGCTGCTGATGAGGTGATTTATCTCTCGTGGCATTAATACAGCACTACTGTATGAACATTAGCGTTACTGTAAATGATCCAGGGTTGTTATAGTTAACTATATATTTGGGCTTGATTTGACTGAGTTAGCGGTGTTCTGTGTTCTGTGTTTGACTCCGGATGTGTCTGCTGTGTTTCTGTTCCCAGGTGGCTGCTGGGAAGCTGGAGGATCATTTCCCGCTGGTGGTTTGGCAAACAGGATCCGGAACGCAGACTAACATGAACGTCAATGAGGTGATCAGTAACAGAGCCATCGAGATTCTCGGAGGAAAACTGGGCAGCAAAGACCCTGTTCACCCCAATGACCACGTCAACAAGAGCCAGGTTACACACACACACACACACTCACATACATACACACACACACACACACTCACATACATACACACACACACACACACTCACATACATACACACACACACACACACTCACATACATACACACACACACACACACTCACATACATACACACACACACACAC